TGCTTGGTGCACTAAGCTCAGAATGCCTCAATGTGAAAATGCATTGGTTTATTAAAGCCGCTTCCTTTTCCACTTACGTTGACAAAATCCACAAGAGAAGAAGCAATTCTGAGTTGCAAAGTCGAACAAACCGGATTCTGGATCGCAGATGCCAAGCTCCAGAAGAGCCTCACAGCTGGCAAACTGGTCAAGTTGACTAGGGGTACATACTGAAGAGAGAGAAGTAAGATTCAAATGATCAGTAGAAGCAATACACTTTTCATTGCAATTTCTTAAAGTACCTTTAATAGGATAAGAATTTCAGAGCAGAGCGCATTAAAACGCACAACGTTTCGATGTCTTCATAGTATCATTGCTAAGTGATAGACAGCAAAAGTCTGACCCACTAATTCAAGTGTTAGGGTTAACCCTAACCCAGGAATAATAAATATATTCATATAATGATATAGACTACCATAAAAAGGGGGATTGCTTGTTATTGACTGTAACTATGCTGTTGATAATGATTAAATATTCTACCTGATTTCTATTATGAATTGTTGTTATGGTGGTTAGAATTACGAGATCTTGTTGATCGTGATGGCGACTATAAATATATTATGTGGAACAGCAGAGAAATTAAGATTGGCGGTAAAAGTGTGTTTTATAAACGATATTTATCAAAAGATATTAAGTATACTAAAGATCTACTTTATGATAAGAGATATTGACTCCTTTAAAAGTTTTTAAGGAAAAAAGTCTTTTCATTTTAATTTTTTGACTTGGACGGGATTGAGACATGCAGAGCCATTGAATCTACGAGCACATCTACCTTCTTTTACCGCCATTCTTGATCCGGAAAACTTTAACTGCCGTGACTATTAGAGCTTTCTGATAAAGTTTAAGAGCGTCTCTGTGTAATTTCCGACCACTTGAAATTGGTTCAAAAATAAATCTTGCCTTAAACTTTGCATGTGGATAAAGAAACCATTGCCTATCATCGGAACAAAAGTGTTTTCCCTCAGATTTCAAAAGTTTTTTATTTTTGAACAATTTTTCGCACGTAGGTCGAATCGTGAAATAGAAATCATTTGTTTACACAAAATGAGCAATCTTTATTAGGATCTCACGCTGTCAAAAATGATTCAATACGAGAGATATTCTGGAATACAACAGTACAGTTTAATCCATCAACTTTCCAAGTGTGATCACAAAGGTACAGTATCGTGATAAATGTAAACACTGTCGTCTCGTCAAATATGCCACTACTTGACTAAGCGGAAAAGTGGTACTTTTTAATTTGCGATTTCTCCGTACTGGGACAAAACTAGATATCAGGAGTTGCACACACTCAACAACCGTGCATAGGAGCATCATATTCCGTAAAAATATCCATGGCTATTATCGCAAGAAAAAAATAAAGCAAGTGGAAATGTGAGGTTTTCACATACCTGTATGGCGCTGCTTTCGGTAATTTGCATTCGTAATTATCCACAGTAAATCACAAAATAATCGCAAATGAACAACTCAGTGCACTTACTAATACTGTAGAATGTCTGTAAGTCAGGTTTTACTGTCCTAAGGTCCAAGGATTCCAAGCATTACTTTCCGAGTGATATTACAGAGACACGCTCTTAAGTATGAAAAGCCAGAGAAATGGGCCAATATAGCAGAAGAATTGATCTGGAAGATAACTGTATTTCAGAAGCCTTTTTTTTCCCATAAGAGTTTCTAGCGAGCCGTACTTAAGATCTTTTCAATATAAGTACTAAACTCCATTCTTTTTACTGGTGATATCTTTTTTTAAAATAGGCTATATTCCAAGCCCAAACTGTTCCTTTTGTCAAGATACCAAAGAAAATAGAAACCATGTATTATTTACTTGCCCCTTTTCTTACTCTTTTTGAATGGATGTTATTGCCAACATTTTGAATAATATTAGTAGTTACAGATGTCTCTTACTAAGTGATGTTGTCATTGCAAACTTGAAGGAGGAATGGATCTTGTCAATAGTTCTTTTTACAGTTGTGGGCTTGGTGGCCTAGCCTTTGAACAGGAGTGAGGCTATAAAGGGTGACGCTGTTGTGATATAGACCTGTATCTAGTTAGCATGATAAACAAAGAAATTTGCATTTGAAAAGTGGCAACATCTCTTTCATAACAAGGTCACCCTTAGCCTCACTCCTGTTCAAAGGATTGGCCACCAAGCTCATACCTGTAAAAAGGACTATTATGTACTAATTCTTGGTAAAAGCTATTTATGGAGTTGTAGGCATAAAGATATTAAACCGTGGATTAGTCCCTTTAAGAGAATTCTTGAAAACAAATACGAAACTGAAAAATATATTGCATTCAAACTAATAGAATTATCTCTTTCCGTAATAAGTGGAAATCCTACGACGAATTGTCTTTAAGTGGCGATACTTAATTCTTTAACTTTTAGTTAACTATATGGAACTACCTTGAAGTAACTTAATTCATAACATATACATAACATAAAACATACAATTAATTTAATTAGTGGTAATAAGTGATTTTTCATTTCTGGTTAATTATGGAGTGTTTATCTTGTAAGTAATTTAATAAGAAAATATACAAAACTTTGTATGTAAGAAGTTTAATAAGTACACACATATATATTGAAAAAAAATGTAATATAAGAATAACTTTTGAAGAATACTTTAAAAAAAAAAGAAATTGCTTGGATCGAACTTACAAAAAAGTTCGTAATTTTTGGACAGTGTCGGCGATGGAGTAGCTAAAAGTGGTAGAAGACAGTCAAACTGAAGAAAATGAAGGAAACATAAACGATTCTCTTTATTGTGCCACAAACACAGTTGGCTTTCTTACCCGTCTCTCGAAATAAACAAGTAATCCTTTTCTTTTGATAGAAAAAGAAATCTTTTTGCTATATAATAAATCCTTTATTGACCAAACTTTTTCAATTGATCTAGATGACTGGGTAAAAGCCTCGTTCCTTTTTTGTCATTTGTATGGACGTCGACTTCGTAACGACCAATATCCAGCCATATTGACCTCACGCTTAGTCAATAACGCATAGATAGCAGGTCACTACCCATTTACTTTTTGACATGAATATTGGATAATTGACCCTGAAACTTTGCTATCATTATAATAGCTAGCTGTTTTTATTAATTTTCGCTCGACAATGGTATGATGGGGATATCGAAACGTTGTGCCTTTTTAAAAAATGTTTAGTGTACGTATAAATATAATTCTATGCCTTACTTGGTAGTGTAGGGTCTGGCGGCTCTACGGTAGTTACTGAAAAACAAGAAACATGTAATAATAACAATAATGAAAAAAAAACATTTAACTCTATATATCGGAGAACATGGTGATATCACGTGATTTGAGAACCACGTTCAAGCAGCCAAAGTTCTCTTTTTATAATAGGCCTTAAGGGAAGGGGGGAGAGATGTTGTCGAATCGCTTTGCTTTTTCTCACTCCTCGTTTTAACTTGAATGTTCTGTGAGTGTTTATTTATTGTATTTTTTATTGGAAAGGGATTGATAACGGAGTTATAATTTTATTTGAGATGGGCCAGCCCAACCAATTACATGGCTGCTACTCGTTATGAAACATTCGCTTACAAATATCTGAGCTTGTAACCAGAGAGAGGATTAGGAGTGGAGGTGGGGTGGGGGGATTCAGAAGGATTTTACGATATTTGTTGAAAAGGTTTACTGATGAAGCTCGCATAGTTAACATCTCTTGAGCAACTTACATTGTCGCTTCGCTCTGAATTCCGCTGGCAATGGGTTAGCATAGCAGGCAACAAGAAACGTGACAAGAAAAAAGGCTGTAAGGGCGTACATTTTTCTGAAAAAGAGAACAAGAAAACCTTTAGAATTACTGCTCATATTAGGAAAAAAATATCTTCAGGAGAGAAAATTGCACCTTGAGACACCTGAATCAAGGAATATTTAATCTTAGTTGTTTTGGCTTTGTTTTGCATAAGATTGCTCTAAAGCCAGGTATATTCTACACTACGTGTTCGTGGGCAAATTACAGTTGGAGGGTCTTCCATGTTATATATTATACAAACTGACAGCCCATTAAAACTTCCATATTAATTAAATTACGAACATTTTTTCATTTACATAATTTTACAAACAAAAAAATCTTTGTTATGTTGGCTAACGTACAAGCCCATGTTGTTTTCTGTTCAAGTTTAAAGCATGTAAATATTTATCTCTCAAGAAAATATTAGTTTACATCCTTCTCTAATATTGGAGAACCTTCGGGACAAAAGATGCTGCGAAAAAATTACGGACTTCATCTTTTTCATTTCGCCTATGCCACTAAAATAAGGTTGTATAACTCACTAACAGGACGGTACGTACAACTCACGACTGAGTTTTATTGATGAATGGGACCCAAAAAGCTGTTTTAATTTTTAATGATATGATTTCCATGAAATATTGAACCACGTTAGTTTAAACTCGATTATATTAATGTTAAGCTAGCTGAGAACAAGCACGTTTAATTCTAGAAATTTTTTGGCTGATTTCAAATTTCTCAACCATATCTGCACTAACCAAAACATCAAATGGTTGGCAGATACTGTTTTAAAGTAAGAAGCTTTGTTATCGTCAGAAATTTTTATCTCTGATCGAGTGTATTGTACTGGCGGTAAGTAAAAATTGTCTTGTGATCCATGAACCTTTCTTAATTTTTTTTTTCAGCCATAAAAATCTTAAGGTTCAGTTTGATGCATCACACCGAGTCACGATTCTACGCTTAGACCTTGCATTCTGTTATCATAACGGTCCGAAGTTGTTTATGTGTTTTCTATTTACATACTTCAAATGCTGAAGATCACAACATCAAATCGAAATGAACCTTTTAGTTTCACCTAAGTTACCTTAACATAACCCTACAATGATTGTGCTGTGTTGGAAACAGGGCTAGGCTAACATTTTTTTATAAATCAAGTGTAATCAGTTCATCAGAAATAGTCTCTGTTGGACAAAATAAAAGAAAATACCTATCTAAAGCTTACCTTTAAGTAAAGTCCACTTAAAAGACCTTTCTCTCTGGGAAGGTGTCATTGAATGCCAATACCTCAAGGCTATATGAGATTCATAACATCTAATTAATATCAGCAACAGATACCTTAGACATCACGTCGGCGCTTCTAAAAAATTTCGTCGGTAAATATTAAATATTGTACAAGGCTACCTCAAAGTGAAAAAAAAAAGAAAGCGAAGGAAGCTTCTGTATGCAGGTTTTGGTTTGATACACGCAAAAGAAAACCAGCAGAATTTGCTCCCAAAACATTATTTAGCCAAATAGTCTCTGAGGTTAATTTAATTCTTTTAATTGCAGATTGGCTTCGATTACAGATGGTTGTCTTCTACGAGGATTTTTAACGGTAAGTTGTTTCAAGTTGCCGATTATTTTTCAAGACTAGGATGTGGTTGCAGATCTACAAGTTATGTTATATATTTAATATGGCTGGTATAAGAAAGTTAGAAGAAAGAAGAAAATTCCAGGTCCTAGTTTTGGTATATAAATGTATTAATAAAGAACCCTCAAGGTACAAAGAAGATTTCTTTAAGACTGAAATCTGTAGTTATAATCTAAGAGGGTTGCAGACACTTTTAACGCTACCTAGTTTTAATCTAGATTGGCGCCATTAGTCATTCTCATTTTTGGCAGCAAAACTCTGGAATTCGTTACCTACGTATGTTAGTAACGCGAAGGATATTTCTACTTTTAAAGAAGCAGGTTTTTTAGATAGATTTAATAGATCTAACATATTTAAATTTTTTTCCTTTGGAATTCGTTACCTACGTATGTTAGAAACGCCAATGATATTTCTACTTTTGAGTGTCTTTTAAAGAAGAAGCAGGTTTTTTAGATAGATCTAATAGATTTAATAGATTAAAAGATTTTTTTAAAAATGTTTTTCGTTTCACGCACACGTTTTAATGAATTTTTATCACTCCTAGATGTAGCGTGGGTAAATAAACTATTGTATTGTAAGTATATTCAGCGAGGAAAAATAGTTCCAACATCAGAATTGTTGCTTTAATCAAAACTAAAAAATATATCGGAAGTACTTCAGACAGAAAGTGTGGACCAAAAACTACCATGAAATTTTTTCTATGATACAACTGAGACATGGAGGTAAATTTTGTCCTGCGTGAAATGTTTCAGTTTTAATTTACAGATTTATTTTTTCAATGTTAGTTGGATGGTCCATCATATGTATTCGAATGATTGTCGTAAAAGGCAGAAATTTACAGCCATGACGAAGTGAATAACATGAGTAAATCGAAAGAACAAACGGCCTATGAGTTTAAATAACGAATAGTGATTTTCCCTCAGTTGCAGGGTGAGTCACTTATCCTAATGATTGTTATGGAATGTTTGTCGACAACTCGTCTCTACGTCTTGCCTACATGATCAATATTTTTCCGGCGTTTATAGCGCTGTATTACAATCTTTATCGAAGCAATCGATTTCTCAGCACTGTGCCAAATCTCTTTAACTTTCTTATGACACCAAAAGGATTATTAACACAAACTGCCATGACCTAGCATATATCTTTGATTGTTTTTTAGACGACAGAAAAATTAAACCCCGAAACAAAAGTAGACAATCTAAGGCCTTGATAAAACCCAAGTTTAATGATGAAGAATTGGGAGAGATATAGACGTACTTTTATTTAAGAACTACAACTATCTCTTTAGAGGGAAATTCTCTTTTGTGTGGCTGCACAAAAGTGAGGCCCTTAATTTAAACTCTACCGATATAACCCCAAAGAATTAGGGAGAAAACCTAATTATTCACGTGATATCAACTCACCTTAAGATGACGTGACCGATAACTACGATAGCAACGTATTTATATTTCTTTTAATAGATAATTACATATTTGTACACGTGAAAAATGCTAAAGGATTAAACTAGGTCATCCACTGGCTTTCTTCTCTGTTTTATCGTCTAATCATTTGAGGGGGCCTTAAATGAAAACCATACGTGTCTAAATTTAAGATATTTCCGGAGCCTCAAAAATGCATTTATTAATGAATAAAGTTCTTTCCGACCGTTTTCATGATTTAAAGACGGATATTATTTGTTCTTCTGTTTTGACAAGTGTTTTTCGTCCAAAAACCCTAACCGAAATTACATCCGATGTTCCGTGTTCTATATATCTGAGCTGGAGCTCTCAGTCTTTGGAATCTCGCTGTTAATCGGAGTATCTGTAGTTGTTCGGAAGCGGAAACGGAAATCTCTTTAAAAAGCAGGCACGTTTCACTCGAGTGAAAAACGGCGGAACGGTAACACAGTTAACTCAAAAAAACACCAAAAAACTCGAAAATTGCGACTCAAAAACTGAAATACTCAAACTCGCACACGTAAAAATCGTACGCGTAACTTGCTCAGATAGAACACATGACGCAACTCAGACGGTAGTTTCTAAAATCAAAATCAGACACCAGTGTTCAAAATTTCAAAGCGGACAATAGTGTCCAAAATCCATAATCGGACTCTAGTGTCCAAATCCAAAATCGGACACCATTGCTCAAAATCTAAATCAGACACGAGTGTCTTAAATCCATCATAGGACACCATTGTCCAAAATCCCTAGTCGGACCCTAGTGTCCAAAATTTAAAACTTGGCGACACACAGAATCAGACTGAAGGGTTTGTGCCTAATCAAGCCCAAAATTTATACGTGACGCATGGATTTATGAGAAAGGTAGGAGAAGGTGATATTTGGAATTTTCTGCGTAAAAAACTGCTTAAAGTACACGTGACACGTGAATTGTTCTAATATTTGTGCATGAAACGGAGTCAGGAACCCCTCCTCCCCTCCCCTCCCTCGCCATCTTCTACTTATGAGCTTCCATTTTAACAGAGCACTGAAAATTTTAATGGAAGAAGTTTGCATTTCTGAAGAATTAGTCCAGCCCTAGCATTTTTCAGCATACCAACCTGTTGAAATTGATAGACAAAATTGGTCAAGTCACCTCCAACTGCATGTCCGTTTTGATCATTGAATACCCAACAGTTACCGCTTTTTCCATATTTGGAGTAAGCTGTACCAGCATTCTCTCTATCGAAGCACTCTCCGTAAAACTGAACACTTAAATACCCTTTGTGTCAAGAGCCACCTGTGCGGATTGGTTTACCGTCAGATTCATTCTTGTCCAAACAATCTGTGATCGGAAATTGGCGTAATATACAGGGAGAGCACAATCATCATAATTGTCATGGTAACATCCAATTGGTTGAATGCTCGAACACGTTAGTAAGTGTCGATATCTCTGTAAATGTAACAAAGAAATATCTCCATGGGATACATTACTAATAAATATTAACAAAGATTGTATTTCTCAAGAGCCCCATCATCCATCGTCGCCTCTCAAGCCTATTCTAGAAAGCGAAATTGTTTTGTACCATGATTTGTATATTCCTTTTTTGTCTTTGTTATTGTAAATTGTAAAGTACTAATTCAATTTGTATATAACTTGCAAGAAATAAAAAAACCCTTCAATACAAAAAGGGTTTATTTTTTGGTGCAGGGTAAAGGTAAAGTCTGTTTACGAGCCTAGTGGCCCTTAACTCCGGTTTCTGTCGCATGTAGCGCAGTTGCTAAGATACTGACACATAACCTTTAATTTGTAAATACGATCCGAACACCCTTGCGAAACCAGAACCAGAACAAAGCGACAACGAAAACATTCGACACTTTTTACAACCAGCTTTTTCTTCATTTACGCAACGTAGTGTTTAACAAATGATACCAAAAGAAATGATTTTTTCACTTACGATCGCAGTGTTTGTCTCTGTTGCAAACAGCGTCAGTTACTGGTTTCATAGCATGACGACATAGTTCTCTAGCAGCTGGTACGATATGACCAGCCTCGTCTGCCCGGATGTACTCAAGCTCCCTTGTCATCAAACCACCACCACATGTTCTGGGACACTTAGGAACACCAAAACCATTTCATTTAGGCTGTGCTTTGTTGAATTCCAATAAGAAAAAGAAAAGCTAATGCAGTAGCCAACAAATTTTAAATCAAAATATCATTTTGAGCATTTAACGAAAATTTCTACCACCAGTGAAGGTTTTCATTAAATGAATATATATCTGTTTTTATGTCAGACCAAGGTAGACCCCTCCATTATTCTGCCGGACACGGCATATCGTTGTACTGCTGGACGAGAGTAATATTTGGTTTGGCACTCTTATCACAGAGCAAGTCGCTGACTTTCCAAAACGAGATTCATTAAATTGCCTTCGACAGTAGACAAGTCAAGAATGACTCCCTCTTTCCCAGGTTTTGGAGAACTCGTTCCAATCTGTTTGATGCCACCTTAAAATGGAAAGAATTTGATGATGATTATCAGGACTTACATGCGACAGGCTTGGGTTGTAAAATATATCCCACTATAACTGACCTAAAGTGCGGAAAAACGCGAGGAACTTAGTCAACTATTAGTTTCACGTGCATCTGGTTGAGAGGGTCCAGCAAGGTCTTTGTGAAACCAATTGGAGGCGACGAAAACTAACTAAAAAAAATTAAAGTTATCTGTCTTTCATAGTGATATTATATGGCACACTTACGCTGTCTAGCAAGTATTCTGGTTTTTGCAGACGATGTGCGACGCAGGCTTTACTACGTCGGAACAGGAATGCACTGATGCAGGAGTACCATCATCAGATCGAACGCAACTGAGATCTCGAGTTCTGACACCTAAAGTTCAGCGCAAAATTGTCATCAAATGTTAGTTTAGTGTCAATTTCCTTTAAGTACTCTTGCTTGGCCAGTAATTAGCAGGACAAGGTGAATGAAATCTAACGCACACCAAATTGTTTGAATACTCAGATAAACTAAGAATCAGAGACACCAGAAAACATTACCTCGGCCACAAGTCATTGAACAAGCAGATCACTTCCCAATGACCCACTTTGAAGAGAGTCTGAGCAGTTTCGTTTGATAATAATGGTCTGTAGTATTGAAAATCCACTCCTTGATTTTTTTCAGGTAGAAAAACAAATTAGAAAATGAAACAAAAGAAAAGACCTGAATCCACCAAAATCTGCTGTATGTATTCCGGCATAATAGGCAAGTAAGAAAATATCAGCCGATACTTAATAATAAAACCAAAACGGCGAAGTGCTTTCTTTTTGCTTCATGAGGAGACCTATGACACAACGGTTTTAACGTCATACAACTATAATAGAAACCGTCAAAATCCATTCAAATGAGTGTCAGCGGTAAATCTAACGCGCTTATTTATTTAATTAGGCTTGATTCCGCTCTTCTCTCGAGCAGGGGTCTTGGTGCCTTCTAATAATGAGCGTGGGCCCAGTTCCCAAACAGCGGCTAACACAATCTTCGAAAATTATCTTTGTATAATACTAATAATTTCGAAAAAACATTTTATGCTTTATAAACTTCAAGTTTAAGATTCATATGTAGCAAATATATGAAGAGTTTGTTACTACAGTCTTCTGTTCAACTTGTTTCTTTAATCAACATTAAAAATCACTGATTCGAACCATTTATGTTGTTACCATAATTTCAATGGGAACTTTTGTGGGTCCAGCTACAAACACAGAATCGTCATATTGTTTGTGTTCAATTTTTGTTCTATTGTAATAAACAGTTCGACTCCGGGAAGGAGAATTTGTAATGTGTTCACCGTTGTGAGTATCTTTATCACCTGACGAGGACAGGAATAAAAATCAGTGCTTTTGTTAGAAATATAGCAAAACTCATAGATATTACAGTTAATCGGTGGTACAATTGGCTCCTTTCAGGGATAAACTCAGCTGCATTTATTTTATTGCAGAATACGAAGAGATGTATCTTCTAATCGATCAAACCTTTTATCTAACTATTCCTACCCTACTACTAAAAACATGTTTAACAAAACTTGATAATTTATTACCCAACTCTACCTCAGTTTAAGGATTTTGAAATATCGTAAAGAAATCACTGTGTCGTTGTGGGACTTAACATTTCACTGAATTGAGATGAATTTGGAAAAGAGATACGAATTTCCTATTAGAAGCTTTCTTTATCCTTCGTGCCACGAGTCGAGAGTG